CAAAATGACATGGACCCAAGCACATGACACTCAGCTCTTTGTTTATTTCATCAGTCCCTTCAATTGGTCTCTCATACAATATTTCAAGATCCTTTCTCATTCTGATTTATAAATACTAAGAAACTGAACAGATCTATAAGCAGTCAGTTATGGCAGGCATCTTAAACTCTCAGTTGTGACTTAGACGGTACTATCAATCAGTAAGTACCAGAGACAAAAGTAATGCAATGGAGGAGGAAGCACTTACACACACCCTTGTTGGTTTTGTTTTGCTTTTTGTGGTACCAGGCATTTATTTTGAGGCAAGATCTCACTGCATTTCCTAGACTGGCCTCAAAGTTGCAAGCTCTCTGCTTCAGCCTCCTGGAGTGCTGGGATTACAGATGTGCACCAGCACATCCTGAACACAACACACATCCTGAAAGAATGACAGGGGACTTCATGCCGCCATTGCTGTAGAAGTGGATTTAGTTGGGGCCAACCTCTCTTCAGGCATGTTGGACCAAATGATAATTCACAAGTCTGCCGACTCAATAATAGTCAGCTGCCATGATATGCTGTATCGCCATGCATATCCATCTGATTGAGTTTAGCTTTGGCAAAAACCTAACAATTCAGTTATTATGGATGTGGGCTTATTCCGTTCAGATGAGATCAGTGGTGGCGAACCTTTTAGAGCTTTCAATGGCACAAATGGCCTGCTATGGTACATGTGCCACAGGTTTGTCACCACTGGATTAGATCAAACGCTTACTAGAAATACTGTTTTTACCTTTAACAAGTTATGTTTAATCATGTGATGATTAAAACAATTAAATATATCATGAAACAGAAAAAAACCCAAGAATGGCTCAGAAGGACAGGATGCCTCTCATGGCAGTGTCTGGGCTACCCCTGCTAAGCCCCTTGGTGGTCCTGCCTGTAGCTGCTCCAGGTAATGATAAACAGACAAAACAAATCAGGGCTAATTAGTAAATATGCCTTCTATTTTAATCTAATAATAAAATGGTAGTATTTTATTTTTAGAGAAAACCTAGAAGAACAGAAGACATTGGCAGGTAGAGTTGGCCAAGCAGGAAACTAAGCAAGGCTTTACCTCTTTGTAGACTGTAGCTCTGACTTCTCACTCTTTATCTGATGCATAAGGCCCCACAAAAATAACTCCCACAGAGCCAGGGATTTAGCTCAGTGGCACTGCACCTGCCTGGCAAAATCAAGGTCCTGAGTTCAATATGCAGAACCAAAAAAAAAACAAAAAAACAAAAAAACAAAAAAACTCCCACAAAATCATCCCACAAAAGTAACCTGGACCCAGGTTATTATACTCCTGTTATTATATTTTTCATTTTTTTTTTTGCAGTATTAGGGATTGAACTCAGGACCTTGCACTTTAGACAGGCTCAGGTGCCACTGAGATACATCCCTGGTTCCCTGCTCCTATTATTTTTTGAAACAAACTAGTTGCCCAGATCAAGTCTCTCGCTGTCTACTAAGCACACTGGGGAAATCCTGTTTCCACAGCATCACTGTGAGTGACTTCACAAAGGACTTTCCTCTTTTAACTGTTAACATCCACTCCCCATTTGTGGGCTGCTGCAACCTTCCTAGAACATAATGCCTTCACTGGCCACCTTAGCCCCCAGATGCTTCACTTCTCTTAAACTCACACAGCACTTAATGCCGTGTTTCATACGGCACTTAACTTTATCCTGCTATTTTTGACATTTGATACTTTCAGATCTTATCTCCCAGGTTAACCTGCCTGCTCCACAAAAGGAGAAACCAGATTCCCATCTTTCACTGCATAATCACCCAAGGGGTATGGGATAGTCGTGTTATATTAGGAATCTCAGTGCGTGACTTTTCATTTATCCCTATAAAATTTAAGGGCAAAAAGATATAAAGGGAAAAGGATAAATTTGTGTAAAGATCACTCTGTGATACCTATAGGTATCTGTATTTTGAAGGGAATGATTTTGATCTCAAAAGAGCATCAAGATGGATCTTTATTTTTCCCTGAGAGACATTCAAGCAGAATGCTTCTGATCACTGTTTATCCTCTGTGACAGGGATATGCTCATACACAGTCGAAGTCCTTAGAGAGGTCCAGGGATTTAGCTCAGTGGTGCCTGTGCCTGCCTCACGAGCACAAGGTCCTGAGTTTGATCCCCAGTACCAAAAAAAAAAAAAAAAAAA